TTGTGTAGTATTATTTTCAGCAGACTGTGTTTTTCTATTGTTGTGTCTTAGATGAAGTTCAGAGCACGTCTTATGACCAATTCATGCAAAACTCCTTCACATACTTTTTCTTGCAACTGTATGTGACTTCATCTATTTCTCACCCAGTGGTGGTGTGAAGATTCTATGTTTCCAAAACAGTCCCTTTGAGTTCTGCTTGGAGTGTCCTGAATGATTGAAATGGTCTGTCCTTGTTTTGAGTTTTGGTGTCTCAAATTAGAGGTTTTGAAGACAAGGTGTTTATTTCGCTTGGTAACAGTTCCAGGATCAAGCTTTTTAAAGATCTTATGGAGTTTTGATGATATAAACTCCATTTTTTAAATCCCATTCTTTCCAAATTTCTGAGAGTTGTTCAAATCTATATGCCATGAAGGGTGGGGTTTTTTGTTTTGGTCAAGCAGAAATTTAGGTTGTATATATACTTTTAAAAAAAATCATTGAAGAATTCAAAAGAAAGTCTAAAGATAGCAAAGATGTTATTCAATCTCACTTTACAGTTTGCTTCTTCACTTAAATAAGCAAGATAGGAAAGCTAAATCCCAATATTGTGCCAAAAAGAATGTTGTTTCAGTTCTTTTCATTTATTCCTTAGGTCCAGGTTCTTCGGAATGCTGGAGAAGAGGTAACCCTAACTGTGTCCTTTCTCAAAAGAGCGCCTGCATTTCTGAAACTGCCCCTTAATGAAGATTGTGCATGTAAGCATAAAAAAGGTTTTGAAACAAGTATCTACTGTTCTTAGGAACTCCTTTCACAATCCTACTTTAAAGGCTGATCTCAATAGTCATTGGTACTTGTCAGTTGTCACAATACAAAATTTATTACCCTTTCTTTGGAAAAGCAGGATAGACAAACTATTAAAAAATGATCCTGTCTCTGGCCGCCTTTTGGTAGATTTGACATCTATGCAGTCACAGCTATTCTCAGTACATTTTTTCCTCTCCTGAAAATATTTCAGGAGTTTTTCTTTATCACCTATATTTTATTACAACATGAAATGTAATCTTTGCTTGAAAAGTGTGTCTTCTGTTGTGATTAAAATTTGCTGTGAGGATGGTTAGAATTTATCATTTGTCTAGAGTTCTTGCACTTTATATGCAAGAGCTGTGGTGGCACAGTGGGAACCCTGCAGTGGCAGGTTCCGGATCGCCCACATGGTTGTGTGCGATGTACATGCACATTCATGCAGCGTGTGCATGCAACATACCTGCCAGTGACGCCTACACAATGGTCCAGCTGCTCGGTGGAGTGTCACGCAGGTGCTGCACATGGCGTGCGCGGACGCACCGAAGGCTTTAAAGAACAGGTAAAGTGCTCGGGCGGGCAGGTGGGCCCTCAAGAGCACCTTACTGGAACGGTACCCAGTGCTCCCTGCAGGCTCCAGTATGCCCGTACCGGGTTGTACTTCCTGCAACCCACCACTGGAACCCTGATGCTACACTGGTTAGAATGCAGTATTTCAGGCAAACTCTGCCCACTGCCAGGAGTTCGAACCTGACTGGCTCAAAGTTGATTCAGCCTTCCATCTTTCCAAGGTTGGTGAAATGAAGACCTAAACAACTTAGAGAATGCTATAAAGCAATATGAAGCAGTGTATGTCTAAGCGCTATTGCTATTGCCATATTTTGGTCAGCACTCACAGGGAAGTTGAAGTGGTTTATCTTCACTCTGCAACCAAGGCAGAAGATTTTTCAATGTGAATAGTTGTGTACTTTAAGAGATAGTTCTGTTCACATGATTTTTTTTTTCAGGTTTCTAATACTTAGTATTTAAATTTCTACTGAACTGGTAGAAACAAGAACTACAGCATGACTTAAGTCTTTGATTTAGTTGCACATTAACCAGAAAATTATTACTTGCTGTTTTATTGACTAATGCATGCTTCATATTTTCATGCCTTGGGGAAAAGATTATAGAATCAGGAAACATTTGAAACAATAGGGTAAAGCAAAATGCTCCTTTTATCCTAGACTGGAATAAATTGCAGAATACTGAGTATTTTGTTCCAAATATAACCACACTCCAAACAGCATATCCTCAGCATTCCTGAGTCCCTTGGGAATATGGTGGCATACAAGTGTAATAAACATTGAACATATCCAAGTTCAGAATCTTGTAAATTCCTATTAGCATATCTGGACATAAGTGGACATTGGACTTGAAAAATATTCTTGATACATTAAAAATGGATGAGATGGTTGAAGGCAGTTACTGGAATATCATTCAAAGACTTATAGGTATTACTAAAATTGGTTGATACAGACATTTATCAATAACCTCCCAATAGAACCTAATTAATTAACTAATTAGCATATATTGAATATCAAATTGTGTTTAAGCTTAATGACATTTGCTCATGCAAGCCATTTTATAGCCTACTAGACAAGCCATGACCTTTTGGGTCATTGTTTCAGAGATAAGAAATGTAATAGCTAAATAGAATGACCAAGGGCAAAAAACCAATGGGAATGGAAACAACTTCTGACTTCCCTGCAAGCTTGACCATAGCTGACATCCCTCTGGCACCTATGGAGGGTCTGGTCTACCTGATTTCCAGTGGCCAAAACAGGGACTGGTCTACTGGCCTATGGAGGGTTAGAGCAGGATCAGTCTACTGAACTTCTGGGTGTTAGTATGGCAGTGTAGCACTATTGAAGCTATCAATCCCATGGGAGTCATGGGTCTTGGATATTGGGAACATTTTAAAATTTGCCTTTTAAGATACCATGGTTCAAAAATTGTTGCCCTATGATGTATTGTTTCTTCCAGCTAAAGGTTACATTCATAAGAGTCCCAGTAGCATATAGATGTCTTGGGTTGTTTGAAGTTGGATTGTTTGAAGTTGGCAAATATCAGCAAAATCTAGATAAAATTAACCATATTTTGCTTGAGTATCAAACCGAAGCTAGCATCTTCTCCCAGAATACCAGAACTCTGATAATGAAAGGCAACTCGCAAGTTATCTATACTACAGTGAGCTTTCCCAGGCTGAGGAAGTATTTCTTCAAAGCCAGTCCCATATGCTACTATTGGCACAATTATAGGTCAGGTTTACTAACATTCTATCAATAGAACGTATCTGCCCATGTGCCTCTGGAGAAATGGAAACTAGCCAACTTGTGCGGTTTCATTGCAAATTTTACAGGGATCTGCATATATTCATTCAGATTCCATCTATAGTATTAACCAATACAGTGGCCAAATTCTATGTGGTTGCAGTGAAAATGTAGCAATATTTAGTGCAAATGTGATTAATTTTGCACCCTGGACTTATTTTATCAATTTTTCTGTCTTATTAATTCAACTAATTATAAATTATAATTCAATTATAATTTATAAATTCAACTAATTTTATTTTATTCTCCTTGTTCAAGTTCTTTTAAATTACTGATCTTTGATCATAACAATAAATTGGATTTTATTTGAAACACATTTTGTCAGCATATGGACATTGCAGTTAATGGTAACTAATCTAAAATGGAATGTCAACATTTCCAAACATTTTCTGGCAAGGGAAGAATGCTGGTTATTCTTACATACTAAATCAAAATTTGCTGCTCTTTACAAATAAAGCCACTCAGTTTTTAATTTTGTTTAACATGATAGTGTACCATTCAAAATATGTCTTAAAATATAAAACAAATAAAGGCTGTCCTCAGGGTACACATATGACTACTTCATGCTCTTAATGCATTTTATTTTCCTGAGTTGGTTATTTGGGGGAGGGAAATTTAGCAGATCAGAGATTTTGCAAGCAGATTAAATATTGGGCCTTCTAACATCCTATCATTGAAATTTTTCTTTTTAAAAAAACCAATGATTAAAATGAATATTGTAGTAAGTTACATGAGTGTCCTACATGAAATTCTCACATCAAAGATTGGTATCAATGCAACACTCCACAAAGCAGAGAAAATACTCTTCCTTCATCTGTTGCTGACTTCTAACCATGCTAGATAAATGTCAGTTTCGACTAGAAAGTTTTTATAACTCAGACATGTATTTAAATAGATTATATTTTTATTAGGTGTTCCTAGTGATCAAAGTAGTGGCACATCCTCACCTCTGTGTGACAGTGGTTTACATCTTAACTATCATCCCAATAATACGGTAAGAGAATGATTTATGAGACTGTCAAGAACTTGAAAATGTTTTTGATTAAGAAGTATGAACACAATCTAAGAGCATGTTAACAGTTTATTTTACATGAATTGAAACGGAGGTTGCTTAATATATGAATATGATTGGAAATGTTTTTATCCCAGTGCTGGAAGTATACAGTAAAATAGTAAATATTCAGTAGTGTTTTTACTGTTTGTTAATATACAATAGGAAGCTCTCTAATTTGTAAAGCCAATATAAACAAGCCTTCCCTCTTAACTGTGCTAATTGGTGATGATGGGATACAGAGGATTAGGACTGTGAGAGATATTGTTAATGATTTTTCTCATGGTTAATATATTATAGTACTCAGTGACCCAGACACTCAAGAAACAACAATAATCAAAATTCTTTACATTTAGCATTATTATTCAGCAAGTTTCTAAAACAGGCTAGATGGAGTCAATCAGGAATATCTTCATTTTTGTTTTCTACATTTCACAAATGTAACTTTTCCTGGGGTCTTTGCATTTTTTTCACACTTTGTGTGTTTGGTGCCTCAATACATCCTATTTTTTCCCTTTGATCACAATAATATGTTGATATTAGAGGGTGCACAAGTGTGTGATGTGTTTCTTTTATAGTGAATACTCAGAATTTTCTTCTTCAAATAAGGAAGGACCTCTGACACTCAGACCTGAATATCATCCCATTGATTGAAACACCTAACTCTAATTTTCCCTTCAAATTAACTATAATCCTAGATGTTTTCATGCTTTTGCCACATAAAAACCTTTAGCTTTGGATCTCATTTGTTTATTGGGTTATCTTTTTTAGGACTTGTTTTAGGACTTGTTTGCAGAACAGATAATTTTAAGTAATATTTATATGGAAATATTGAACATTCAAAAGGATTCACATACTTTTAAGCACTACTATATATAATTAAGCTAAAGTTTTCGATATGATTCAAAACTATGAAAATGCTGAGATTACGCCAGAATGAGTTTTAGACCATTAAAATATTCAACAACCAATTTATTTATTCATAGTGAAATATTGATGGATTGGTTGAATCTTGGTGTTGACTCTTTACAGCCATGTAGATAGATATCTCCGTCAGGTCCCTAAGTTTCAGATCTTCCCTTTATATACTTGCATCACTACTGCATCGGAGTCCATCTACCTTATTGATTTTATCTTCTCTTTCTTTCTCAGTAATAGATCCTTCTTTTGACAACTAGATGTCAAAAGTAGTATAATTTGAAGCTGGTCATTTGTTTCTCAAGTGAGAATTCTGGGATGATTTGTTTGATGATACATCTGTTTTTTTTCCCTTGGCTGTTCACAGTATTCTCAGGAGTCTGCTTGAAAACAATAAAAAATATTTACTTTCACTCAATTATAAGGTGTCAAAAAGTGCTAGAATTTAATTAGGGTGTACTTAATTTTGGTAGGGTACAATGAAACACAAGTTGACAAAACCTAATGATATTTCAGTTGAGAGGCAAATCTAAGGGCCATGCATGTTGGGCAAGAACAATGAAACAGACTAAATATTTATTAATTGTAAATACTTATTACAAAGTAAAACATGAAAGATTTTTGACATCTGTGTTCAGGATACGCTTTCATGTTCTTCATGGCCGACATCTTCAGGTGTTAGATGGGAAAAGAGGTGGTGTGACCTCCGATTAATACCTCTTCTTCATTCAAGATTTTCTCAGTATCTCCCAGGATCAGATATGTGCAGGTAAGTAGATAACATCGAGTGGTGATGATGTGATGGTTGTTGATGATGATGATAACCTGCTATTCTGTGATACAACTGTTATGAGTGATTGGTTGATTTGGATTAACAAGTTCTACATTTCCTATTTTTAGTCTGTACATCAATTAAATTGAATGGATGGACAAGTTGCAAAATTTCCAATTGGCAAAGCTAAAGACAGGTTGAGATCTTGAACCATGGTCTTCCTCCATGGCTACTTAGATCCATTATATTTCTTTAGGCTAAGTGCCAAAAAGACTATTAGCTGAAGACTTTGCATTCAGTTTGCTTTGCATTCTGTAGAATTCACAATTACTTATTACTTCGAGTCACTCAATCAATCCACAATGTATTCTAGCAGTCACCATAGATGTGCCAGACAGTGATATGGAACATTTGGATGGTTTTCCATTCCCTTACATTAATGGATATGTCATAGGTTATCCTTTAATTTTACTTTGATCTATTATTATAACACTGGAATCATAAAATTATACAGCTAAACTTCAAATTTAACTCTAACTCTTTCCCTGATTAATTTTTGAAACAAAAATCATTATCATCACGAAAATTCAGCTCTACCAGCCAAAATGAGAGCTTGTTTTACATTATTCAGGCTGGATTGGGTAAGAGTGCTATTTTTTCATATAAAATATAATAATAGTTTTGGTTTTGCCATTGATGTATCACTTTTTACCTGTTTTATCTATACTTGTATTGAATTTTGTAATTGTAAGCTTACATACATGCTCATCACCTTATTTCTTTTTTTGGGGGGAAGCAATATTATAAGAATACAGATGATGAGTAAGGAATAATAAAATATTCTAATGTTCCATCTACCCTGGATACATAGACCTGTAGCTTTTGCATACCTTGCTACTTTTTTCTTTGTATAGGGCAGAGGTGGGGAACGATGGCCCCTTTATGACTTGCAGACTTCAACTCCCAGAATTTCTGAGCCGGCATGGCTCACAAGTGATAAAAGGGCCATCATTATCCACCCCTGGTATAGGGGAATGGCAATGGCATTCTTCCATTTGCCAGGTAGAGATGCAGTCTTTGCATATTTGCTAAAACATCACAGGCATTCCATAATTTATATTTTGACATTTCACAGTTTACCCTCTCTAATCCTGAAACATTGCCGATTTTCAACATTCTTCCCACATTTGTGATTTCTTTTTAATCATTTATTTTTCTAAGTCACAAAGATTTTCAGCGTTCATTCCATTTTTACTACTTGACACATTGAAATCATTCCCACACAATTTTCTAAAATATTTCTTCCTGCATTCCCTCACTTAGGTCTCAGCCTAAAATATTTCATCAATTCTTTATAAATAAATATTCCCTTATTTAATGTTAGATAACTTTTGAGGAGGTAGATATGATAGAATGAACATGGAAGCACAATTGGTGTAAAGGCTAAATTTTCAAGGCTGGAACCAAAAAGATTGATACCACATAGAGCTATTATCAAGACACAGGTCAAGTGCTCTCCAAAGTTGAGAAATGAGAAGTCCATTACTATGTAAGGACCACAAAAGGGAAAGATAGATTTAAACCCTGGAGTAATAATATATAGCTGGCTGAATTGCTGGATTCTACAGCAGCTGATCTTTATTATTGGGGTTTCTTATGTTTGCAATAAAAGTACTATTTCTACCTGAACCTTGTCCTTGATCCTTTCCACTGCTTGCTCCTGAGTGCTGATTATGCTCTGATACTATTGTATCCAGGCTGAAGCTCAAACAATAGTAGTAATTTTAGAACTATTTGTATGGCCACTACAAAATAGAATTAGAAAAGTAGACAGCAATAAGGGGTAATACTACATTCAGTCCAACTTTTATCTACTTTATGTAGTGTATAGAATTTAAATATAAGTTTTAATTGCCTTCTGTCACCAATTGCATTTTCAGTAATATTAGGTGAGTTATGTTTTTATTTTATTGAAGTCCTTGAAGAGCTGCAAGCATTGGGGAAAATGAGGCTGTACCCCAGCAAGTCAAAGCAATCATATATGGGAAAAAATTGCCTCAGGGTGCCAAAAGTTTTTATTGTGGCTGTCTGTTTCTAAAAACATTTTTATTGTTTTGTCAGCTGACCAGGTTTTGGCTCATGTATGAGCCACTGTATGAGTTGTATAAATGGATGGATGGATGAAATGTGCTTAGTGATTATAGATGATTTGGCATTCTTCAACGGTAATGAAAGATAAGACAAAGAATTTAAAAAGCCACATAATTCAAATGTAAATAAAAGAAAAGAAAATAAATACAAATAAAATATAACTTATAAATATAATATAATTTATAAATATAATTTATATAAAATATAAATATAAGCAAACTTGCAACTGTACTTCATTCTTGCTTAAGAAGTAATTTGATATGTTTTAATTTTAGAAATGAAAATTTGTTATTCAGAAATCTACGTAATATTTATGTAGAAAAATTGTGGTCTTAGTCATAATTAAGATCCTTGCAAAAAGTATGCTTCTTTACTTGTAGAGAAAGATATCACTGACGCTGTATAGATCTATAAAATTCCCCCAAAAATGTCACAGGTAGCTCTGTGGTAAGCCAGAATCAGTAGAGTCAAACTGTATTACAATGTCTGAAAAATCACCGTGTATCAGCCATTATAGCTCCTACAATCTGCCAAACTCCTACATTTTCAAGCTTTTTGTGTAAGAAAAGCAGCAGTATAAGTAATTTGTATTCAGCTGGCCCTACATGATTTGCCAAGTTTTATCTCATCATCTGCCATTTAAAGTGCTAAATACAGAGAGAATTATATGATAATAACAGTTTAAAGAACAGCAAGAGTTTGGTGGCTAACTGGTATTGAAAGGAGTGTATAAGTGAGATGAATTTGTTCTGCAATATTATTAAATTGGTAATATTAAATTGGAAATGTTTGATTAGATCCCAAGTTAATCTATTTCATGTTTACAGGCAAAATGCATTCCAAGTAGTTGCTGTGGATGGTATTTGCAGTGGAATAATTCAGTGTCTTTGTGCTGAAGACTGTATTGACTGGCTACAAGCAATAGCGATTAATATCTCCAATCTCACAAAGCACAATGTAAGTATATTTCTTTATCATATTTCCCACATATATTTGATCCCAAGTCTCATAAGTGCCTCACAGGCCAAATGCTGGATTTTATGTGCATCAACTCTGCTTAAAGCTTTCCTAGAGAAGTCTACTCAACCAACCCAAATTCTGTGAAAATTCATTGAAAAACAAATCTTATCTTCACAATCTGTTTTATTATTATTAGTATCGCTTCCTTTTTCACAATTCCAAACTAGAGCTGAAAATAAAACTAGATCAAAATTTGCTTCTTTATTTTGTAGTCATAGGAGACTGTCTCTGCTAGTAAAGTACAACATTACATGAGATAGATTCCTAGATTTATTTCCTTTACATTGTAAGTTCAGAATAATGGAATAAATTTAAAAATCAGATGAGCAAATTCATGCTGTATAAACTTTTTCAGTCAATACTATGGAATCACCAATTAAAATCAAATGTTTGCATTTGATCCATTAGATCAGATACATTATAATGCAAATCGTCAACTGTTGGTCAAACTTGGTTTCTATTTCATATCTCTCTGCATTGTCATCTCTATTTATTTATTTTTATCCTTTTCAAGACCTTCACTTCTCTAATCCTCCACCTCTTTAGTTCTTGTTCAATATTCACAAACCAGAGTCTAAAGCAGGGGTGTCAAACTCAATTTCATTGAGGGCCACATCAGGATTGGGTTTGACCTAGGGGCATGGTGGGCATGGCCAGCTTGACGTCACTCATGTTGGAGACATCTATGCCCAAGCACTCTGCCAGCAAAAACTGGCTCCAGAGCTCCGTTTTCAGCTATGACAGCCTCCTGCCATCCTCTGCCAATGAAAACTGAATTCCGCTTTCACTGGCAGAGGGTGTCAGGAAGCCATCACAGCTGAAAATGGAGCCCGGGAGGGCTGCACACAGGCAAAAACACTGTGGGCCGGTCATTTGCTGTTTTTAGAGCGGCTCTGTGGGCCAGATCTAAGCACCCTGTGGGCCAGATCTGGCCTCCGGGCCTTGAGTTTAACACCCCTGGTCTAAAGTAATTGAGTTTCAAATATTTATTTTTTCCAGTCTTTTTTGTTATAATCTTTTTAAAATGTAGCCTACTAACACTGTATGAGAGGAAGTATCATTTTCTATATTTTACTTCCTTTATTATCAAATGTTCTCTATCTGAAAGCGTTTAGAATTAATTTTAGCTGTAATGTTGAGAATCCATTGAGAAAATTTATATTTCATGGAAATGCATATCCTCTTACAAAGCACTTTATTAATACTGAAAATGTGGTGTGCTGTAGAAACATGACAAACATATAATTTGTCTACCAAAGTTTATGCTATGCAAGCCAGTTACATTATTACTTATTCATCCATATAATGCTGCCTCTATATCTGACTATACATTCTCTATAAGCTTGACAAATGGGAATAATTCTAACCTTTATGCTTATGCTAAATAATTTTATGTTATTAATTTTAACTTGTGTTCCAGGCTATTTTTGATATTCATAATAATAACTTTCTCAGTTGTATCCCGCATTTTAAGCCGAATTACAATTGCCTCTGATTAACTCTGTAATTATAACTGCCAGCTGAAATGATGATGATTATCACATTGGTCCTAGAGGGTTTATTTTTGCAAGAACATAACTTATTTAGTAAGCTAACATAAATTGAGCATAAGACCAGTATAGTCTCACTGGTTTTAAAAAAATTGGAGGAAATAAGGGAGAGAATTCACTTTGATACACTAAGCATAGAAGTTTAACTGTTAATAAATAAGTAATGATCATCTTTCTTAAACTAAACCAATAAAGATGTGATACAATGCAATACAATCCTATATTTAGGAAAAATATTAGGCAATTGGCTTAGGTAACAGATGGTTCTCCTGAACTCCCCCTAACTTTTCTTCTCTGTTGGAGACTCATGCTGTAGCATCTGTACTGTGCATCCTACATTAGCTTATTTTTTTTTCAAATGTAATGGATAACACTATCACAATTGTATTCCTGGGATTAAAGTACATGAAATAGGGAATTTCAACAACTTCTCTTTGGTCAGTCCTGCTGAAGGATTTCCAGATTTGAGCTACAAAAATAAGAACAATGACTAAATGGAAGAAAGAGAACTGTATCTCTCTGTTTACTTTTATACTTTGGATCCCAGTTAACAATAAATATACAAATCATGAAGTCTATTGAATATCATAGATGAACCCTACTTTCCTTTTTTCCTCCAAAATTCTTGTTTGCTTTTGTAGGTGTTGACCAAAATCCTGAAGTAAAATCATACATGAGTGTTTATAGCAATATGAGGACCGTAAGATAGGAATAACTAGTGATTCTTTAACAGAATAACAGAGTTGGGAGGGACCTTGGAGGTCTTCTAGTCCAACCCCCTGCTCAAGTGGGAAACCCCTATACCATTTCAGACAAATGGTTTCCCAATTTCTTTTTAAAATCTCTAATGTTGGAACACCCAAAACTTCTCAAATGCATTTATTATACTATACTGAATATAAATCTTGAATGAATTTATTATTATAATATTTGATAAAGCTGAAATACTTATCAGTAGAGATCTGCCAAAATGAAATGACTTCTAGGGGCCTGAAAGTGGGTCCTTTAATATTTGTAAGCTAGAGATAGAACTGCTGATTCAGAAAGAGCCAGACAATATTANTGGTATTTACTGGTTCTCTGAACTACTCAAAATTTCCACTACCGGTTCTCCGGAATTGGCCAGAACCTGCTGAATACCACCTTTGGTTGTCATATTCTTGGTGCCTAATGGTCCCATTTTTCTTTCCTTTTCAGTTCAGGGCTTAGACATTTTGGCAAACTACATGATTTCTGCAGTGGGCAATTCTCAAGTGGACCTTGACCGAAGTGAAGAGCCTTCCTCAAACAACGACATTGCTTTAGCAAAGGAGGGGTACAGGAGCAGCATCCCTTTCATTGTACATACGGACAGGATACATAGAAATTTGGTGTTCCCTTTTGGCTATTCAAAAAGTGACTCCTGTACAGACAAGACTTTCAAGGCTCAATCTATGACTCAGGTATATACAATGAATGGAAATGTCCAGTCCCACATCATTCGGAAAGAGGTGGAGAACAATGTGATATCTAGCTTGCCATCAGGTCTCCTGAAAGATCCTTCAAAAAACTTTAAGGGACCGATGAGATTTACAAAAAATTATAATAGGCTCACCCCAGAGGTGCCATATTTCGATATGGAACCCGTGCGTAAGACCGTTCATCAGAATCAATCAATGCTTGTTATGAATGCTCAGTGCGACACTGGCAATTGCGAACCTCCTAAACATGCGGACGGGATTGGTTTGAGCCAAGCAGCTCAAAGGGATAGTTGTGAATCTAATGTTGCTTCTGAGAAACCAATGTTCACCGAGACACCAGTAGATCAACGTAGTGAAACTCAGAGGACCTTCGACGTAGTTCATAATTTCAGCTCCACCCCAACAACTCCGACAACAGTTGTTGAAGAGTCCCAGTCACATCTGAAGGAGCATCACATGGAAAAGCAGGAAGAGGTCCTGACCTCAGGGGTTATTAAGAGATCTTCATCCGTAATTTCAGACTCAGGAATTGAAAGCGAGCCCAGTTCGGTGGCTTGGTCTGATGCGAAGAGCAAAGCCTTGGAGTTGACCGGGGATCGCGAGGTCCTTCACCAGCTCGCCAAAAGGCACGCAACCCACCAGAATTCCCTGGAACACACAGAAAGCAATACAAGTTTGCCCAACGGCATTCAAGCCTCGCTTACTTCCATTAGCTCCTTGCCTTATGAGGAAGAAGAAAGAGAAGTTGAGCCCAACAAGTTGACGAAATCAATCTCTGCTCCTCAAATCAGCAGTCCCGAGGATCCTGCAGAAGCCATGGATGTATCCAAACCTGATCAAAACATCTCAGGTGGACAGTATGTGGACATAGGAAATGCCAGAATGGTCTCAGTGGGAAATATTTCTGCCTGTCAGGATGGAGGACCTCTGCTTCCCAGTGCTTTGATGGATCACCCAACATCTGATTGCAACACTGCTCACTTACAAGGAAGTGTTGATGGCTTTCCTGAGAATGAAGACGGTAGTTTGGAGGCCACAGGAGGGGCGCTACCTCAAGTAGAATGCAAGTTGCCAGAGAGAAGAGAGGATAACCTTTTAGAAAAAGCCAATAACCATTTGGATACAGATGCTTCTCATCTGGATGTCTACCATGAGGATGCAAACATGAATCACAACCACAATTTGTACGCTGCAGATGTTTATGCCTTCTCCAACAGTGAGAATGAGATGATGGACTTTTGCTATGCCCATCCAGATTCAGAAGACTCAGCGTACGAATTGAACTTCACCAAGGGGCCCTCTGCTACTACCTCTCTGGTCCACAGTAGAGACATCACACGTTTACAGAAGGTTGAGCTGGACCACCGACCTGAGTGTCGATCGTGCAACATTGAGCTGGAAAAAAGAGACCTCAAGATCGTAGCAAATAGCACCGGGTTTCATTCCGCGGTGCCAGAAACTTTGGGGCTCGAGAGTAAGAAGGCCCTGGAGATCGTCAATTTATCTGTTTCTTGCACGGCCACCTGTCTGCCCTTTTCTTCAGTTCTCAAAGAGACACCTCCACTGACGGTCTTGTCCTCCAAGCAGGTCACTTCTCCTATCACCCACCAACCAGTAGGGTCCTTTGGGGTCATCTCTTGCGAATCTAGTAAAGTGGGGGAAGAAGACAATGAACAAATGCTCAAGTAAGGATTGACTTTCTTCAAAATGTTTTACAAAAGTATTGATATGCTGAACATTTGCACAGTACAGATCTTAGGGTGGTAAAGACAATACTGAATGTAAACATATAGTGTCTTCCTTCCTTCCTTCCTTCCTTCCTTCCTTCCTTCCTTCCTTCCTTCCTTCCTTCTTCCCTCCCTCCCTTCTTTCCCCTTCTTTCCCCTTCTTTCCTTCCTAAGTTGTGGATGATCCATCACTGGAGGCT